AGTCTTCACCCCTGAGATATATCACTAGTGACTGGCCTACAATTACATTTCTTGCCACTCATCACCACCCTCTGGACTCATCTGTTCAGCCACTATTCAATCCAGCTTGCTGTCCATCCAGCTCATACTTCATGTTCACCATAAGAATCTTAGAGGAGTCAGTGCCAAAATCCTTCCTGAAGTGTGGGTGGACAACAATCACCGTTCTTATCTACAAAGCCATTCATTCATAGGAGTTTACCAAGATGGCCAAGCACATCTTCCCCTTGGTGAAACCATGTTGACTGCTCTGGACAACTGTCTGATCCTTCATGTGCCTGGAAACAGTTTCCAAGTTTAACTGCTCCATCACTTTCCAAAGTGTGGCTTACTGGCCTGGGTCCTTCTTCCTGACCTTCTTGTGCATGTCCAGTTTGCTCTAAATATTGTCTGACCTGATCCTTGTCCACCAGTGCTATGTCTTCTCTGATACAGAGATTCCCCTGGTTTCAGGGACCTGGAATTTCTGAAGGTCAGTCCTGCTAAAGACTAAAGCGAAGAGGGGATGGGATTCTTGCAGCCTTTCCCACGTCCTGTGTAAAGAGGTCTCCCATCTCATTCAGCAATGAATGCATCTTCTTTTTCTTACCTATGTACACATAGAAGCCCCTCTTGCTGTCTTTGACATTCCTAGACAGATTAAATTCCAGTTGGGCTTTATCTTTCCTAACTTCACCCCTGGATGCTCTGATGATGTACCTCTATTCCTCTCAAGTTACCTGTCCTTGCTTTATCTCCTTGTATGCTTCCTTTTAGTCTCTGAGATTGTCTGGGAGCTCACTGTTCACTCATGCAGAAATTTTGCCTGGCTTCCTCCTCATTGGGATAGTTTGCTCCTGAGCTTGGAGGAAGTGATGCTTGAATATTAACCAGCTTTCTTGGACCACTCTTTCCTCTAGGGCTTTATTCCATGGGACTCTACCCTTTGGAAAGGCCAAATCTGTGCTGTCCCTCCTGCATATGCTGGGGTGGTTGAAGTTCCCCATGAGGACCTTCACAGCTCAGACAGAAGCAAAAGCTGTCAAGAGGTGCATGGCAAGATGCAAAAGCATTTTTACAATGCTGTAGAAATTCACATAGAAATACACATTTTTCACTGAAATTTGACATAAGTGCCAGAGATACAGCAGTAAGCTCATGGATGCATAGGGTTTTAGGACCACTGTGAAAAGCATCCCCAATATTGTGTTCCCTCACAATGGCATACTATTTGTTCAATGCACTTTTCTTTATATTCCTTTTATTATTATTTTTATAACGACCAAAATGTTTAAAGGAAATATTCTTAAATATGACCAACAGAACCCATTATTTCTAGCCATAAACTGTACTATCAGTCCCAGTCTAATGATCCAGGACAGTTATTATGTGGCCAAACAGTGCATCCATTTGTGAGGTGCCTGGTACAGCCCATTAGGTGTGTGAGAGGTGGAGAGAGAGGGAGATGCTGTGTAATACCTGGAACGAGTATTTACTCTGCCCTGCTGGTCAGACAGAAAGTGCATGATCACAGAACACATGCACCACATCACCCTGTGTGTGCTAGGGTTTTCTTTCTTGATGCATTTGTCTCTAATGATACAGCTGTCAACTGCAGCTAACACACCAGAGGACCTGCACCTGTTTTGGCTCAGCTCCTGGTCCCAAATAAACATATTCATCCAGCCATTCAACTTGTTCTTCACACTAATGGAAAGTAAAGTTATAAGTGTCTTCATGAAAGCCTAAATGTTAAATGACTGTATTCACAAATTTGCTCTTCATTGCCCTTTTCAGCCCTACCTTGAACTGAAGTTTTGCTGGGGAAAAGTTATGTTTCTATTTACATTTTGAAGGATTCTTAACTCCTTTTCCTAAAGAAGACATGAAAGATGTTGCATTAAAAAAAGAGGCTTCCACACAACTTAAATTTGTTATTAATGTCATCAAAACTCATCAAAATATGTTAAGAAATATGGTAGAAACAATGCAATAGCACAGGCCTAATCCCCACCAATGTAAATTTGCCTAGTACTATGAAGTCAATGAAGCCACACTAGTTGAGGCCAAATGCACATCTTCTCAACATGTTATACCACTACTCATTTTGATAAATTGTCATATTTTTTTTTTTTCAGCTATGGTAAGGAATTTCTTTTAGCCAGACAGTGATAAAGTTTGAAGATGAGATTATTTTAAAATATACTACAAGAGTCAAGGGCACTGCAGAAGAGTGGCTGTCATTCTGATGGCTAATTGGACTGTGTCAGCTCCTAAAAACCCCTGCTCATGTTGCCTTGAGCTCTGGTCTAACACATATCAAAAGATAAACCCTCTGCAGTTACATTTATGCTTCCACCTCAGACAATACTAGCAAGTTAAAGAGGTTGAAATCTTTATTATTCTCATTATTATTGAGACCTATGCACACACTTAAGCATGTTGACTTTATTTAAAGTTATCAGTACAGTGCCTAAAGCTAAGCAGCCATCTATGTGCTGCCCTCGGTATGAATACTTTTTGCATTGAGACCTACAAAAAGTCAAAATAAATCAAATGCATATAGCTGGAGATTGAAGCAGAAAAAAGGATGGATAAGTAGTAGCAAATTTGCCATTACTCACAGGTGATTAAGGGAGTTAAACATTCTGATAAATAAATCAGGATTATCTAAATCTTTAGTTTGCATTGATATGGTGACACATTGATGTGTTGAGATGTGATGACTTGCCTTGACAATTGGAACAGTGGCTAGCAGACTGCAGAGCTCATAACAGGGTTTAGAAAATCCTTTGGAGGTCTTTAAAACCAATATTGCCTAATGTACCAAATGAAGCCATTACATGGCAGACTGTGGCTCAGGGAAGAGTAAAGGGGAAAAAACAGGTATGTGAGAAGAATTCATAAACAAAGAGGCCATGCCCAAAGTGCATCATCTCAACCAGCTTCTGCAATGACCTGAGTCTCTTTAACACCTTTAACATCTCAGCTTCCCAGATCATCACTGCATTTGGAGACTAAAGCATGGAAAAGAGATTATCAGCTGAGCAGTATTTCAGTCATATTATTTCTTCTATTCTCTTGGAATTCCTTGTCCATCAGACATGAAAATAGTAGCCCCAGTGCTCAGATATGACTGCTTGAGAGCAGGGTGAGGATTCTCAGCAATGCTGCACACACAGAAGAAAGGTTTATCTGAACTCAGCAGGAAAATATGTGGACACTAGTTATGAGGTGCAGGAGCATACCGGGACTTGGAGCAAAAAAAGCTCCCAGTTCCTCTCTTTTTTGCCTCAGAATGCCAATTTCCCACAGTTCTGGGACTGAGTCCTCCACATGCTCTGAAGGTGCTTCAGACACAACAGCCCATAGAAAACTCCCTAGTCTTTCCAGCTGAGTGCACATAACTCTTCTTGCTGTGACTTTCAAGGCTGAATTGTCAACAGAAAGGGCTCTCAATAATCCAGATAAGGAGTCTCATGCTTAGGAAGGTTTATGAAAACAAGACTAATTGTAATTTTCCCTTGCTGAGTAGCCTGTGAGGTCCCACAAAGTCCTTGCAGCTGCAAGGCCTGTAAGTGCTGACAGCTATCTCCTCATAAAAGTGTAATTGCTGACAAAAAGAAATTGCATCATCCAGCCTTTTTCCTTCTTTATCAAAAAAAGGGAAGTTCCCCTTTAGTAATGTTAATGGCAGGAGGATTAATTCTAGGAAGTTTGGCAATGTTTCTTTAAAAATAGTTCATTTAGCAGAATAATGAAGAGGAGTTGAACACTGACTCAGTTTGCCAAGCTGACCTTGTATTCCTGATTCAGACATGGGCATGGGGAGGACCAGGCTTTGTTCAGCCCTCCAGAGCACTAAAAAAAGTAGCAAAATTTGCGAAGAAAACAAAGTAAAGAAGAGCTACTGGGAAGCCTTGGATGTGCTAGTGCTGTAAATCTTTTCCTGATAAAGTGTGATGCTCTCTCCAATCTCCTTCCAGTGATGGATGCTTGGGCTGTTCAGGCTTTTAAGAGCACTGTTGGATTGGCATTGGCATATGAGAAAAAGTAGTTATTGTAGGTGAACGTTGAAAACATATCTTGAATTTTTCATGCTTAAATAACTGTCAGAAAGCCACATTCAGGAATGGCTACTACACAAATATGAGCTGATCTTAGTGGCTGCTGTGGGGGAAGAAATTACATTTGCTATGGTAGGAAATATAAGGTGTTTTTCATGATCACTTAACTCTTGAGTCAAGGAGATTTAGGGTCAATAACTGAGGCGGAGGGTGTTTGTTAAAGCAGTAAATAAAATATGGGTCCATTCATAAGGATCAAGGGAATATGATTCACTGATGCCTACAATGTTTACGGATAAAAATTATTTTTTTAGATACCCTGTTCTTTTTTTTTCATATAGCAACAGAGCTCTCTTCACAGCTTGTCCTACAGTTTTGGCTTGTTTTTTGGTTTTGTTTTTTTTTTAATCCTGTTCCTATTCATCCCTAAAGGATTGCAGAAGAGTTAAAACCTTCCCAGTTGAAAACCTGTACTTGACTTGAGTCTCCGGGCACTGCAGAACCATTTCCTGTGATTGCAGCAGAGAGAGATAAAATTCCACTGTGGTGGGAATAAACCGAAATTAGATCAAAGATTTCCGGATAATTAAGACTTCCAAACCAAAACCTCTTTTTCGCTTGACTCTACTATTTTTTTTTCCCCCAGGCAAACAGGGCAGTGCTTCACACAGGAAGCCAAATCTGCCTATCAAAAACAACAACCCAAACTGAAAGCGTGACAAGAGCTGGAGCGCATTTGCATGCGCTGCACTTCCCCGCGCTAACCTGTGCCACCACCCCGCGAGCAGAGAGAGGGCTCAGTGCAGCTGCCTCTGTGCCCGAACGCCTCCCCCGCCGACACACGCATGGCTGGCACAGGTGGATGGAGCTGGCGGACTTGAGGTCTCAGGTCCTGGCTCTGCTGCCGTGAAGCAGCTCAGCGCCCAGTTTTGGGTTAGGAGCCGGAGAGAAGCCGGCCGGCAGAGGTGGCAATACAGAGCGAGCCCGGGGCTCTCGGGGGGCTGCCAGGGACCCTTGCTCAGCCCTGATGGAGGACAGGAGCCGCCAGCTCCCGCGCTATAAGAGCCAGGAAAGGCGCGGGGTGGGGCTGGCGTCAGCGGGGAATGTCTCCCTGGAAGCAGGTACGTGTCCGCGCCCTGCGCTTCGGGCGGGCTCGGGGCGGGCTGCGGGGCCAGCGCTCCGGGGCTGCTGCTGCGGGCGCTGCCCGCTCCGCTGCGGCCGCGGGGGAGCCCGGCCCGGCGCCGCAGCCCCGCCGCTCCCGCCTCCCGAGCCGGCCGGGAGCCGCAGCCGGCAGCGGTCGGAGGCGCAGCTCCGCGGGCGGCGGCGGAGCCTGGGCCGGCCGTGCTGCCGCCCGTGCCCCTCGTCGGTGGCGGCACGGATCGCCTCCGTCCTGCCCCCGCGGCGGGAAGGGCCGCCCAAGCGGAGCCCTCTGCCCTCCCTGCCTGCCGCGCTCCTCCCGCCGCCGCACGCCCCGAGGAGCGGCTTGTTTTCCTGCCCGGATGATGGATTTCTCCGCAAGGTCATCCCTGCCCGCGGCGGCGGCGTGCCCGCGGCTCCCCCGGCGCCGCCGCGGAGGTAAGGGGCGGGGGGAGCGGAGCGGGCCGGCAGGGCACCGACACGGCCCGCACACGCCCCGGCCACGGCGTTCTGAGCCCGGGAGCTGCGGGCTGGGTGCGCGGGCAGGTGCCGGGGCGAGGCGGGCGTGCCTCGCCCTGCCGGCCGCGGGTGCGAGCCGTGCCCGGGGAGCCGAGCCGAGCCCCGCTCCGCGGCAGTGGGGCTGCGGCCGCCCCGCCGAGCGGGCACCAGCGGGTGGGAGCGGCCGGGCCGGCCCCGAGGGCGCCTCTCTCATCCTCTGCTCGGTTTTGCCGGCACTTGTAAGCGACTTGGGCTCAGGCGTGGTCCGGGAGCGCGGAAAACTTAAGGAAAGAAATAAAGAAGGTGGCGGGAATATTGATGAGATGCCCCCCACCGCCGGGACGGGCCGGGGGGATGCGCGGCGCGGTCGCCACGGCAACGTGCCCGCGATGCCGCAGCGCGGAGGATGCCCCGGAGGCGGCCGCCGCCGCGGGGGTGACCCCAGCCGCCGCCCGGAGTGCGGATCGGGGCCGAGGGGCGTCCCCCGGGCCGAAGCCGGGCGGTGAGGGTGAGCTGCGGTGCCCCTGGGTGGTGGGCGGCGGAGCCCGCGGCTCCCCAGACCGTGGTGGTGTGGCGGCTCTCGGGCATGAGAGCAGCAGGGTCCGCGGGGGTTGCGGGCTGGGATGTCACGGTCAGGGAGCATCGCGCCGTGAGGACGGGCCAGGTGATGTCCCTTGCCTGGCTCAGGGCGTTGGGGCTGGGCACGAGTCCCTCACGGCCTTTTCTTTCTCTTGCTGTAGTTGGTGATAAAACTACTGATGATGTCAGCTCCCCGTCTGTGGCTTGTGTTGTCTACGTTCAGCTTGTGTTCTGTGCCCCATACAGGCCTTGGCTTCATTAATTCTTTATTTCTTCATCTTTTTTTTTGTCAAGGAAGATAATAATGCTAGTGGTGGGTTTTTTAGTTGTAAGACATTACTATGGTCCCATAGCCTAACCTCTTCCATAATATAAAGCAGAAACTATTCCCCAGTGGTTCCAAGGTCTGGCCCACCAGCCTCTTCAAACAGTCTTGATTAAATGACTTCCAACGATGGGAATTGACTACATTCCTGGATAATTGGCTCCAATTTTTAATCGCTTTGTTAAACGTTTGCATCTCTTTTCCCCTTTGAACTTTTCTGACTTCATCTTCCAGCTACTAGATCTTGTAATGTTTTGCCTGTCAGATTAAATAGCTATCTAGTTTCAGATCATCTCTCTCTGCTCAAGTATTTAAGGGCAGTAATTAAATAGCCACTTAACATTGTCTCTGATGAGATAAATAGACCTGGCTGCCTTGGTCTCTCCCTGGAATGCAGATGCTCCCCAGGAGGAATGTCTGGGCTGCTGCTCTCTGAGCCTGCACCACCATCCTTGCCGGCCTCCGGTGCTGCACAGCAGCAGGGTTCCAGGAAGGCCCTCGTTAATGTCACGTGTGGAGATAATAACCTCGTGCTCAGTATTCCCCTGTCTATTCACCCAGTGGTACAAACTTTTCTTTCCCACGACTACACGGTGGGAACTTCTGTTCCATTAGTTACAGGCAGTGATCTCTGCACTTCTATGGAAGCCACGGTTTTCTCAGAAGCTGGTTGTCAGGAGCATTTGAATTAAATATTTCTGCATTTATACCTTTGGATCTGCCTATTTTAGAGATTTTTCCCTCCTCAGTTCACTTCACTTCTGTGGAGTCTGCAGCTCAGGAATCACAATAGACCTCTGGTGTCCTCTAGAAGTCAGAAGGGCTTCTCTTCCCAGGATCTCCCTCCTTCTAAAGGTCTGTCTTCTCCCCCAGCCAATTTCATATAAGTTTAAGGTCTCTTGGAGTAAAAGTTACTAAGAAGTTACACTGAGTAATGTATAAACTGCAAACTGAGAGTGCCCATTGCAGTGAATTGCTTTTGTAACTGCTTTTGTTCAGCTGTGCCTCCAAGTGTTGGTGAGAGAAAGAGAGAATTGCTTTTCTGTCTTAAAGAGCTGTAAATCCCACCCCTGGCTCTGGTGTCTAGGCTGACATACACAGTGTCATTATTTTGAGAGTCTTTAAACCTGAACGTTGTGTTTTACTTGCTCTGAAGTGTGCTTAAGCCTGGACTTACAGCTCTCTAGAAAGCACAATATCTGAGAGTTATGGGCCAGAGGTTAGGTGGCTTTGACAGAATATTGTCATTTTTTCCAGCAGCATGCAGGTAGCATCTTGAATCTCAACAAAATTATGAGATTGAGTAGTCTGAAGGCACCTTCTGTGAGAGATGGTACAAAACAAAGTTCTTTGATATTAACTAATTTTTTTTGTTTGGGTTGAGGTTGTTTTTATTTTTTGTTTGGGGGTTGTTGGTAACCACCTTGACTTGCCCTGTCTTTGAGCTTAATACACAGTGAGGGAGGGAGGGTGGTGTAAGAGGTCTGGAAATTAAAGGTCTTTACATGCAGACCATCTCATGGAGTAGGTGATATGATGATGCCTGTGAGTAAGGTTTGTTTGCACAAATAATGATGGCAGGTTTCGGCCTTTAGAATGACCTAGTTGTCTTGGAAGTGTTAAAATTAAGAACAGTACATTCTGACTGTGTAACGACTTAAATGTCAGGACAAAGAGTGTTATTGAAATTTCATGAAGACTTTTTTATTACAAGTCCCATGTAAAATGGGAATGTCTATTCATAAGATTTCATGAAGTATAGACAGTGATGCACTAAATATAAACAGTCTGAAAAATCATCACAGAGCTCAGATATCGCATCTGATTGAATAGAGCTCCAGAATTCTGCTGAATTTTCTACAGGCTGGTGTCAGCAGCATCTTAGGAATTGTTTCTCAAGTGTTTGTCCAACTGTATATCTCCCCAGTAAGAAATTCTGAAATGTTACTACCTGAGAGGTATCTTTCCCTCACCCATTCAAATTCATCTTCTGTCCTCCACACTGGGCTAATATCTCTGATTTTTTCAACTTATGCTTTCCTTTCTCATGGTTGCACCTTTTCTCCAACTCCTTTTGCAATCAGAAGAATATATGTGTGTTTCCTTGGGGTGGCTGGTCCCAAAAATTACACATCTCTGAATTATGAAGCCCATCCAGAGTCAGCCCAGCATTAAGAATAGTGGCTGGTAATTAATTCTACAGGCTGTTAATTAATTGTAAATAGACAGAAGATGGTATTTTTGAGTCTCAGGCTTGCTGAAGACTGAGAGCACTAGGTTAGACAGATTTCACTAGCGAGATAGTATGGCAGTGGTAAAATTTGTCAGATTTGGGTACTGAAACTGTTACTGACACTGTTATTTTTAAGACCATAAACTCCCTCTGTCAGACTCAGCCAAAGCTAAGGGGAACAACATCCTGCCTGCAGTTTGTGAAATCCTCACTGCTGTAGGAGTACCAGCAATCTGCTCGTAGTCTCACAGCTACAGGCAGAACAAAATTTCCTAACTGAGAATTATGCTCCTAGCAGCACATCACTTCTTAATTTATAACTCCCACACTAAAAGCAGAGTTAGGATACAGGCTGAATCTGCTGCCTTTGTGGATTTAGGAGCAATCCTGGATTAAGACCTGATGTTACCTAATTTAGGTAAACATCACCTTCCTGAGAGTCAGAACAAAAAAAAAGATGGATAATTTTATTAGGGGAAGACAAGTTCTGGACATATTCTGAATGAAATTAAATTCCTGTCCTATAGGAAAAGTTTTTAAAAGTATATGTGAATACAGTTTACTTTTGCAAATAGTAAAAATAGAAAAGGTATACATATATCTTTTATTATATACATGGACTTTGAACTCAGTAACAGTTCTATAGAAACAAAGACTGGTGCCGATTAAAAATTTAATCACACATGATCAGTTACTTATTAACATCGAGTTATTTGTCTCTTGGGAGTCTGTGGCTAGGAGCTCACATTTGTAGATTGGCAGCAGATCCTAGAGGGTTGAGGTGTCAGCATGCTGCTGAGTAAATAGGGAAGAAAATGCAGTGCCAACACCTGCAATTCCATGCAGGCTGTGCAGGGGGGGAAAGGTAAAGAAAAAGGTGGGCACTTGAGTAGGAATGACTGGGAACCAGCATAATAGCATTTTGCACCTATTTGTCCTCTGTCAGCAGTGGACAAGTGCACAAGTGGTGCACTTGATGAGAATAATTAAGTGGAGGGAAGAATGCCAACAATGACAAATATTACCATGCATTGTGGTAAAAGAGTGCTATAGGTGTGTTCACAGGGGACAGATTCAGAGATTTAGTTCTTTCCCCTCATCCCCCCCATGCCTCTAAATCTGTGATCCTGTGAAACAAAGCTTGGTGGCAGGCATGGAAGCTATTACCACAGCCAGTATCAGCCAGACATCCAGGAAGATACAGAATCTATTAAATTATCCAGGAAAAAGTGTCTGTGTCTATTATATCTCCGACTGTAGTTGTTAGCAACACGTGTTACTCCTGCTGATTGTTTTACTGTACTTATTATACATTAGTAGAACGTGGTAGTAACAGCTGAGCTTGCTTATTTCCTCCCTCTGACAGTAGTTCTTTTAGAAGAGCAAGGAGTTAATCAAGGGGGTCACAGACATCCCAGTGCTCTATTAAATTGTTAGTATCTTTGCTATCAGCATTGCCACATGCTGCTGGTGTCTGTGCTAACATAGAGGAGACCAGCTCTGAGCTGAGGCTGAAGGCTGGTATTGCTTGGCAAGTGGTTACAATTAATTTTCCAATCTCATTTATATCACTGTTGTCTAGCTTTGGAGAAGAAATATTATGCTGAGGGAGTGGGGGAGAAGTTTTTTAGAAGAGGATCACAAGAAGTATGTGTTCTGAGATATTTATCATCTCCCTCTCAGGCAACCCTCATAGTCAAATTCAACTATGATAAAACAGATAGGAAGCACATTGCTAGACAGGAGTCTTCACTGTGGTCTGGTGACCTCCTGATCCAGGAAGCAGCAGCATTGCTAAGTTGAAAAGCATTCATACCATCTGTGGATTGATTGTGGTTAGATGGCAATAACACCCCCCCTCCCACTTGTGTTCCTGTACATTAATGCGCACACAAGCCGGGGAAGAGCAGCGTTCCCAGGGCTCTGGCAGTCTGGATGGTTCTGACTAGAGTTATGTTAGTGCTCCACTTAGCTACAGCTATGAACTAAAGCACAGGTCAGGACTGAAGTGGCTACTGCAGGAAAGGTTGTCTAGAGAGCCTGCAACAGGAGTACTCTTACTTTCTGAAAAAAAAACCGTATACCAAATATAAGCAGAACATAGTGACCAAACATTCAGCTTTGGAAGGACAACTCTAACTTATTTTCCCTTTTTCTGATTTGTTTTTGGTTTGTTGGGGTTTTTTTTTCTTGCTAAATGGAAAGGTGTTTCTAAAAATATTGAGAAGTAATCAATGTTTGCCTGAATTCTCACAGTGACACCTCTATCCTGAGATTCTCCTGTAGTTCAGTGATGATAATTAATACTGTCAGCTCTTCAAAATCATCATGCAATTATCACCAGTTGGCATTTTTATCTGGATGAACAGGATGGCTTTCTATATGCACATGTGCCTTCCTACTGCTTTTGGAGAACATTGAACAAATATTGGCTACTGCAGTTGGAATCCCAGACTGCATTCTAATGGTGAAAATCTTTTTCCCAGTGATGCTAATGTGCAAACAA